ACAGTATCCACCCGGGCAGCACTAAGATGTACCAGAACCTTCGTCAACACTATTGGTGGAATGGAATGAAAGTAGACGTAGCCAAGCATGTGACCAAGTGTTTGACGTGCCAACAAGTGAAGGCACAACATTGTAAGCCTGATAGAATGTTGCAACCATTGGAAATCCCAGAATAGAAATGGGAACATATCACAATGGATTTTGTAACGGGACTGCCGAGAAGCCAGAGGGGACATGATTCTATTTGGGTGATAGTAGATAGATTGACGAAGTCAGCGCACTTCCTGGCGGTGCGAAAGGACTTCGAGCTAGAAAGGCTGGCAGAGTTATATGTGCGACAGGTTGTTCGTCTTCATGGAGTACCGGTATCAATCACTTCGGACCGTGATCCCCGGTTTACTGCGAATTTTTGAAAAAGTCTGCAATCGGCCATGGGGACTAAGTTGCAATTCAGCACGGCCTATCATCCGCAGACGGATGGCCAGTCTGAGAGGACTATTCAGACATTAGAGGATATGCTGAGGGCGTGTGTGTTAGACTTTCAGGGCAAGTGGGAAGAACAGTTGCATTTGGTGGAATTTGCCTACAATAATAACTACCAGCAGAGTATCAGAATGGTACCGTTTGAGGCACTATATGGCAGGGCGTACAGAACACCATTGTGTTGGGATAAAGTGGGGGAAAGAAGTATAACGGGTCCAGAGTTAGTTCAGCAATCGGTGAAAACAGTAAAGGCTATCCGGGAAAGGTTGAGAACAGCCCAGAGTCGTCAGAAAAGTTACGCAGACCGAAGGCGTAGGCCGTTAGAGTTTCAGATTGGCGACCATGTATTTCTTAAGATCTCGCTAATGAGGGGACTATCTCGGTTTGGCAAGAAAGGGAAACTAAGTCCAAGGTATATAGACCCGTTCGAGATTTTGGAAAGGATTGGGACGTTGGCCTACCGTCTCACCTTGCCGCCGAATTTGTCGCAAGTTCATAACGTCTCCCACGTGTCGATGTTGAGGAAGTACGAACCGGATCCGACCCACGTGCTGAATCATGTGGTAATAGACGTGGACGACAGGGTGTCGTACGTGGATAAGCCAGTTCGGATCGAGGACAGGAAGGAACAGGTTTTGAGGAGCAAGACGATTCCGTTGGTTAAAGTTATCTAGGAACATCACGGGATGGAAGGTACCACATGGGAAAGCGAGGAGGCGATGCGACAACAGTACCCCCAATTGTTTGAGTAGTCGGGTTTGGATTGTAAATTTCGAGGACGAAATTTTTGTAAGGGGGGAAGAGTTGTGACATCCCGAATTTCGGCCCATTTTTGGGTTTTATAAAACGCGTAATTTGTCAGTGTGCTTATAGTAAAATCTCGCCCGGGAACTGATCACTCCCGGTTATCATTTTAAATTAGAGATTTCGCTAGAATCGCACTCGATCGAATTTGGCCGTTATTTAGACCCTGAACTTGGCAGTCGATTTTCGGGAGTTTCGGGACGAAATAAATTGGACGGTGTCGATATTATTGTGGCCAGCGTCGCTATTGCCAGGAATGTGTGAAAAGTGGATTTTTGACCGGGTGCGAATTTGGACTAGTAGGCCTCCCTCGTAGTGTGTTTTGGATTATTTTATTTTGGCCATTTTCCTATATTATTAATTAGGATTATAGGGGACCGTTATATCGTTTTTGGGTTTGAACCGTGTCCGTCGGATCGCACTTGAGTGAGAGGTTTGACTTTTGAGTCTCTCTCTCCCTCTCTCTCTCTCTCCTCTCTCCTCTGCGCCGCGCCACCCACTCCCGTGCGACGTCCCTTCGCACACGTCTGTCCTTCTTTCTCTCTCTCTCTCCCTCTCTCTTTCTTTCCCTCTCTCTTTCCCATCTGGTCGCGCACGTCTCCGCCCATGTAGACCCCTGACACTCTCTCTCCTCTTTCCTTCTTCCCCTTTCTCTCTCTCTTCTTCTTCTTTTCTTCTTCTTCCTCTTCCTTCTTCCTCCCCCAGCCCCGACCGGTTCCGTCTCGCTTCGCCCGAGCTCGCTCGACCGCCGTGCGCCGCCGCTATCGCCCGGCCCGGCTCGAATGCCGCACCGTCCGCTACCGCCCGCCTCCGACCGGGCCGGTCTCTCCTCCCCTTCGCGCCCGGCTTTGTCAGCTCGAGCCCGCCGCGTGCTGCGCTCCGCTTCGCTCGCCCAGCGGCGTCGCCTGCCCGCCCGGCAGCTATCGCCGCGCACGTTGTCCTCGCCGCACCGACCGTCGCCGCATTGCCGCCGCCAAGGAGCGACTCCACGCCACCGCCGAGCTCTCGCCACGTCCGGCCGTCGCGATTCGCGAGCGCTGCCAGCGGTTTCGGTCCCGAAGCATGCCCATCGCCGCCGCGAGCCGCTGCATACGTCTGTTGCTGCTCGCTGCCGCCGCCGTAGCTTGCCGTCACCGCCGCTGCCGCCGCCGCTTGCTGCCGGCTGCCGGCCGCCAGCCCAATGCCTACAATCCGGGCCCAGCTGGCCTGTGCCGTAGCCGGCCGCCGCCCACGCGACCAAGCCGCGCCCACGCCCGCGCCCGTGCCCTTACCGCGCCCCGCCCGTCGCCACGCCCGTGCCCGCGCCCGTGGCCGAGGCTCGCCCGGCGCCGTGCCCGTCCGACCAGGCGCTGTCGCCCATCCAACCAGGCGCTGTCGCCCGTCCGTTCGCCCGTGCACCCCCGGCAAGCCGCACGGCCATCGCGCCCGCGCGCTGTGCACGCCGATCGGCCATTGTGCCCCGCGTTGGCCGGCCACCGCGCCTGTTGGCCCGCGCCCACAACCCGTGATCGTTTCACTCTGGGCCATTTTGGGCCCGAGCCGACTTTTCCCGGGCCAAACTTAGGTAAGTGACTTCCTAAACCCTACCTAGTACTTTGGGTATTTTTAGACTTGTTTAGGATGTGATTAGTATCGGGTTAGGAATTAATTTAGGCGTGGGCTAATTAGATTGAGTGTGCTTAATTGGTGAATTAATGTGGCGATAATTGTGCGGCTGATTTAGTGATTGACTGAGATAAATATGCCTGACTGAATTGTCGTGGCGCTTGTGGGTGAATTGGATTAATTGAATGTGCCGACTTGAATGTCGGGTCGGTGGGGCCGATGTCGGGAGCATGAATTGAGTTGACTCGATGTGGCGTGCTAGATTGACATTGGTGAATGGGTGGTGATTGAAATTGATTTATATGACTAAGAGCATGGTGAATTTTGTATTGTGGTGCATGTGCATGAGAAAAGCCCGGATCGATCGGAGGGCGAGCCCGAGGCGTGTTTACGCGGGCCGTGAAAGGTGAGTTAGACCCGAGGCGTAGGTTACGCGGGTCATTGGAAAGGGAAAAATGTCCCGAGGCGTGGTTACGCGGGACCGAGCCCGGCTTGATCTCGAGGGGCCGCCAACCCGAGGCGTGGTTACGCGGGTGTGGCTAGAAAGGCAAGTAATGACCCGAGGCGTGGTTACGCGGGTCGAGAGAAATGTCCTGAGGCGTGGTTACGCGGGACTGAGCCCGGCTTGATCTGAGCGCTGCCAACCTGAGGCGTGGTTACGCGGGTCGAGAGAAATGTCCTGAGGTGTGGTTACGCGGGACCGAGCCCGGCTTGATCTAAGGGCTGAGCCTGAGGCGCAGTGGCGCGGGCTGTGAGATTGGGCCTGAGGCGTAGTGGCGCGGGCAGTGTGAAAGGACCTGGGAGGTCGTGGAAAGTTGTTCGACCACGTATGCGAGTTGAGTGTGATTGAATTGATTGGACTGGCTGATTGAATGTGCGATTGAATTGGTTGGATTGATTGAGTGCTAGTGTGGTTGGTGCTTGAGTGATTGTGATATGTTATTAGACTATTAATATTGCATTGTCACGTTTAACTAACGTGCAGAGCATGCGTTTGATGGCGAGGTAAGTATAATGACGTGAATTTTATATGTTGTGGGGTAGATTGCATGTACGACTTGTCTGGGTACGCATTGGCCTACGTGGGGTATAGGGGGTTGCTTATTGAGACTTGTTCTCACGGTTATTATATAACCATTTCAGATCCGCGACTATGAGTGACTGGAGACGCTGCAAGGGTATCTCGGAGATCAAGTACGGGTCAAGTTGCCCCATATTTTTGTGTGCCCCTCTTTTATATAGCGAAGTAGGATATCCAACCACTACTCCGTTTTTAATGTTGTGTATTTGGAATTATTGTTTTGTGCTATCCCTTCGTCATATTTTACTGTCTGGGTTGTTTTATTTCGCTTCCGCTTGCGTAGTTCGTTTGGGTCGGCGACGCGTCCTGGGACGTCGCGTTCAATACGACCGTGGAAGGGGTGTCGCGAGCCCGTTGGGGTTCGGGGCGTGACAATTACAATAAGTCATTGTGATATATGTCACGCCCCGGACCCCCACCGAGCCCGCGACATCCCTCCATGGTCGTATTTCGAATACGACGTCCCAGGACTCGTCGCCGACCCAAACGAAACTTCAAGTATAAAACGCACGCGGAAGCAACTATAACACCCAGACAAGATTAAAGACCAAGGGTAGTAGGAGAACACTTGGACAAATCAACCACATACTTTATTCAATGGCACGTACTTACAAAATCCAACCTTACATACAAAAGGCCACTAGGGTTAAAACCACCATCATAAAAATGGGACAAGTGGTCGGGTAGGCTAGCCTAGCTATACAAAAAGGGTCCACCAACTTCATGGGCTCCTCTTCGGGGTCTTGCTCCATCAGCTCTTCCTCGGGATCCCAAAACGCTGTGACGGACCATTCATGATTGGGGTCGGGGGTCTGAAATGGTTATATAATAACCATGAGAACGAGTCTTAATAAGCAACACCCTAAACCCTACCTAGGCTAACACGTACCTCCAGATAGGGGTGTCAAAAGAACCCGCTGAAACATGACCCGACCCGACCCAACCCGAACATGAAAGTTTTGTATTGGGTCGGGTTGGACCTTAATTTGTTTGGGTAATAGTATAAACAAGCCTTTTTGGATCTACCGGAGCCTGCCCGAAACAAGCCCACTGGAAACAAACAAGAACCATTTGATCTTCTTGCTCCCAAGGGCCAATCCCACCCGAAACCTATCATCTTCTTCCAGAGCTCCGCTTTCTCTTTCTAGCGGATCCCGTCTCCTCCCCAGTTTGACTTGCGCCACCTCCCTCGATCCACCGTCATCGTCATCCCCTCCTAGGCATCGAGCTCGAACCAGGTCAGTCCCCGCAAACCCTAACTCCCTCCTGATTTCGTGAATGAAAGCGGGTCCATCGTGCGTCGCCAACCGCTGTGTCAGGTAGCGGGTTCTGAATTGTGGGTCTTTCGAAGTTTCGCTTTTCTGATAGCAAATTGTGGGTTTATCGCTAATGGGTGCGGGTTTGCTGTTCGATGTGAAGCGAATTCCGTGGTGGGTTTCATGTGCTTGTTTGTATTTGGGGGGGAGAGGGTGGTGAAGTTTTCGTTTTGCGTTGGCTGCATTGTTTTCGAGGACTGGGGGGAGAAGTGGACTGACGGCGTTCTCTGCGACAGCTGCGGTGATAGCTCCTTCTCCGCCGTCAAGGTCCCCATCTCCCTCTCTACTGTACTTTCGTTTCGCGCTGGTCTAGGGTATCGCTGGATCAATGCTACTACTGGAATATGGTCGGATCAATTGAATTTCCTTATATTTTTTCGGTACAAATTTCGTCCTGCTGTTTCTTCTTTGGGGATAAAATTTGTTGAGTATCTCACGGATTGACCGTCGCCTAGTCGGCCTTTTCTCCAGGTTGAGTGATGGACTGTAGCTTGAAGGTTATAGTGGAATAGCTTTTGGGAAAGATGAGCCTTATGTTGTTTGCTTATTCCCCTTTCATCGCATTGCATTGAACATACATAGTTCGTTAAGTTCATGAAGGACGGTAGAAATATACTGAAATATTGTTTTGAGTTGATGTTTCCTTAAAGTGTTCCTCTCACTTGATTTGTTGAAATAGCTTGCTAGAGACATAAGAAACTTGCTTCATTGCTTGTAATTGAATGAACTTGTGACTGCATTTTCAATCTAAAATTTTCTCAACTGGTAAATGCAGAACTTTGAGTGAGGTCCAAGGCTCATAAAGCTGTTTACAATCAGACTCTTGTGACGATAGTGGTGGAGTATGCATCTGTAGTAAGTGTTCTTTATAAACTTTCTCCCATTTACATAGAGCTTCTTGTTATTACCCTTCAGGTTTCACCATTTCAATACAATAACATTATAACAAGATGCAAAGCTTTTTATTTTGCAGGTTTACACGTCAGATTTGACAAAACTTTTTAGTTGGACATGTCCTAGTTGTGATGGAAAGACCAAGGTAATTTAACTACGTTTTAATGTGACATTGTTGCTAAGGTTGCGTAAAGAATAGGTCCTCAGTACTAAATGGCCAATTCTTGAGATGAGATTTTGTGGGCATATGCTGCCTTCTCTTATTAGCCTCTGACTGGTTATTAATGCCTTTGGACTTGAAAGCAGGGGTTCTAAGTCATTGATCTGATAGTTTGACGTCCAGCACTGCTTATAGGTATGTAATTCATGTTGCAGTGGCCTACCAATTTGCGATGCTCGTGATGCCTCTATGTTTGAATTTCATCTATTTTTTGTCCTTATTTCTAATCAATATATATTACCTGTAGGCATATATTAGGGTGGCCAGGACCTTAATGCTGCGGTTATAGAAATAAAGAAGAAAGTGTGGGAGTCGCACCACGATCTCTTCCCAGTTAAAGAAAAGACGATTGCAGAATCTAAGTTCAAGCTGGTAACTACTATGGCTCTTGAAATGTTTGAGCTTTTATATGTGTTTTCTTCTTTATTTCTTCTATGTTCAATCTTTAGTTGGCTGCATTTTGGTGATATATCTTGGAACTGAGTTACTTGAATTGGTATCTTTATTTGTGGCATAATTAGCATGTAACAAACCTCTGCAAAAAATTGCATCCGTGACAGCTTTCTGAGTCACTTCTTGTATATGACAAAGTTGTTCATGCTTGCTTTTGAGATAGACTTTACTTTACTATGTCGGCTTTCTATGGCAATGATGGTTTTTGTTGATTCTGGAATGTTAATCATTTTTGCTGATTGCTAGATGTCTTCGTCGATGGATTCTAGCCTCACAAATAGAAGGAAGAGATCCATTATGTGGGATCACTTTAAAAGGATTCCATGTACAGCCAAGAATCAAGAAAAGGATGAATGTTTATATTGTGGGGTCCACATTGGTTCTTCTAGTACTCAAGGGACTAGTTCAATGCATCATCATTTAGATAGATGTAAGGAATATCCATATACAAACATCGAGAAAAGGCAAAAAAATGCCTCGGGTCAACCTGTTGGGGTTGGTAGTTCACCATGGAAATTTGACCAAGATGCTAGTAGAAAAGAACTAGCGACCATGTTCATTCTTGGTGAATTGCCTTTTAAGTTTGTAGAAAATGAGGGTTTTCAGCGATTTGTGTATAGAATCCGGCCAAAGTTCTCAATCCCTACGCATAACACGTTGAGGAGTGATTGTTATGCGTTATACGTGGAGGAAAGAAGAAACTTGATGAAATATTTTGCCAACACATGTCTTAGAGTTTGTTTGACGACCGACACATGGACCTCTTGTCAAAATTTGACTTATATGTCTCTCACTGCTCATTTTGTTTATGCTGATTGGAAGTTGCAGAAGAAAATCCTAAATTTTTGTCAAATCCCGAGTCATTCTGCCGAAATAATAGGAAAGGCGGTTGAGAAATGTTTGACTAGTTGGGGAATTCAAAGTATTTTTTCCATTACCGTGGATAATGCAAGTTCAAGTGATTTAGGAATTCAATACTTGAAAAGAAGACTTAATTCTTGGAACACTATGGTATTGAGAGGTGAATTACTCCACATGAGGTGTTTTGCTCATATATTGAGTTTGATTGTGAGAGAAGGGTTAAAAGACATAAATGATTCCATTGTTAGAATACGTTCGGCTATACGTTATGTGAGGTCTTCTCCTGGGAGGTTGAGGCGGTTTAAGGATTATGTTGAACTAGAGAATATTGAGTCCAAGAGTCTTGTATATTTGGATGTGGAGACTCATTGGAACTCGACATATATGATGCTGGAGGTGGCTTTGAAGTTTCAAAAAGCTTTTATCTTATTGGAAATTCAAGATAGCAAATTTGTTGAAGAACTGTCCAAGGCGAAAGGGTTGCCTACTAGTGATGATTGGGATTATGCCCGTCACCTTCTTCCTTTCCTGAAGTTGTTCTTTGATACGACTTCAAAAGTTTCGGGTTCTTCTTATGTCACTAGTAATGATTTGGCAAAGGATGTCTATGGGCTTTTTGAGATGATTAATGAATATTGTGAGAATGAGGATAAAAGTTTGCAAGAAATGGCTAAAAGAATGAAGACTAAATTCAATAAGTATTATGGCAATGTGAACAACATTAATCTTAATTTGTTCATTGCTTGCATACTTGACTCTCGACATAAGTGGGAATATGTGAAATGGTTGATTAATGATGTTTATGAGAGCAAGCAAGCAGAAATTTTATGTGATAAGGTAACATCATCGCTGACATCATTGTACTAGCAATACCACACTGGTAAATGCCCCCAAGGCAACTTGAGATTAAAGGGTACAACGACAGTAAATGTGTCAAAGTCTCCCGTGGTTGGTGCGGACTTTATGACTGCAAAGTATCTTAGCCGAATGGGACAACAAATTTTGGAAGAAAAATCTGAATTGGACAAATATTTGGAGGAAGGATGTGAACGTTATAGTCCCGCCTTTGATATCTTAACTTGGTGGAAAGTTAATTCTTCGAGATATCCTATTCTCTCTTCCATTGCTCGAGATATTTTGGTCGTGCCCATTTCGACTGTAGCATCAGAGACCGCATTCAGCACACGAGGTCGTGTACTTGATGTCTTTCGTAGCTCCTTGACCCCAAGAATGGTGGAGGGTCTTATATGTGCTCAAGATTGGCTACGATCCTTTCTACTTTCTCTTTCAATTGAGGATGACTTAGAAGAACAATAAAATTTTGAGTCAGGTCAGAAAACATAATTGTTGAATATTTATTCTTTTCTATATTACAATGGATACTTAAGTTTTCATTTTGATTGTGAATTTAATGCAGAGTGTTCAACTACAATTATGGAGCCGAACTCGATATCGGTTTCTCTTGATGATTGATAAAGTTGGAAATTGGTACTTGCTAAACCAATTTTTTTTATTCTTATTGCAAATTTACTTGTGTCTTGAACAGAGTTTGTTTAGTCCTAAAGCTGATTTCTGTCCAATTTCCATCTCATTGGCTTTGGCAATTTGTAATCAGGAGGCCCCTTCATTACCCACATTTCTATTTCCAATTGATATTGTACGTTAACAAGAAATCAATAATGATTTGAACATTCACCGCTTCCTTTTCTGCTAATTTTACAGAATAGAATCCACTTGAAGCAAAACGAGATTCCGCGAGAGTTTTCTTGTCATCGATTGGGACTAGTCAAGCTTTGTAAAAGCTTTTGTCTTCTTTGTGCTTCTTCAGGGGCTTGCTGTGCTGGTGCACAGTTTGTTCTTCTTACAATGAAATTTAATTAAGAGGAATTGGGTTTTGCTGGAAGCTGGTTTATATGTTTGTCACGTGTTCCAAGCTGATTTGTATGAGGAATCGGGTTTTTCTTCTGTAAGCAGGAAAGCATAGAGATTTCTGGGGAGAGAGACAACAGAATTTTTTGATGTATATTCATTTGTCAAACTTTTTCCTTTTTTCATATGTATGCTTGCACAATCCCAGAGTGAAAGCGTGATGATAAGATGAGATGTGACAGTGTCCTAAGAATTCCTTTGATCTCATGAGATAGCTTGGATTTTCTTTTCTTTTCTTTGGGAGCAACTTGATGAAACCTATAAAAATATTGTCGGATGCATGCAGGAACGCGAAAGGGATTTTTCATTTTCTTGTTTACTCTGCCCAAGTTAGTGATTTGTGAGGTATGGGACAGAATGAAGATTTTGAGCAAAACAAGGTGCTGATAAAGTTATTGAGAAAATGAATTGACCGCAAGAAATGATTAGTAAACCTCTAAACACGAACCCGACCCGAACCGAACCCGACCCGATTGTGCAGCTATATCATGTTCGAGTTTGTGTTTCGGGTTGGGCCAAGCACATATATTCATTGTTTCGGGTCGGGTTGGGTATCATGAAAACCCGACCCGACCCGACCCATTGACATCCCTACCTCCAGACAAATAAAATATCACCCAACACATTCAATCCACATGCAATAATATTCAAAGGCACCCTCTAGCCTTACCTCGATGCATATATAACCCTGCACGTTAGTTGGATCGCTATAACATAACCAACTTCTCAATGCACATGCACTCCAAGATACAACCAATTTCCTACACATGCATCGATAATAACATTCCAACCTATTCCAATCTCAATCTCTACACATGCTCACATCTTTCAACTTCCGACACACATACATGTGTCCACTGTGATCAATACCGACCCGCGTAACACGCCTTAGGCCCACCTCATCATACGACTCGCGTAACACGCATCAAGTCTACGGCACGACTTGCGTAAAGACACATCAAGTCCACGGCACGACTCGCGTAAAGACGCATCAAGTCGGCGGTCCTCCGATTTATCCAGGCATTGCCTCGCGTAAAACGCCTCAAGACAAATCCAATTCCTCGCATAAACACGCCTCAAGGATTATAGGATCAAACGTACATCCTCATTTAATTTCATGCCTTTCCCCGCGTCAACACGCCTCAGGGCCTATCGATTATACGCGATACAAATCTCATTCCCTTCGCACAGCATCCACATGCCCTAATCACACACAAACATGCTCAATTCCAAATCAACAACTCAGCCCAACCAATCCATTCACAAGGGTAGCAATGTAGCTCAACCATATCACCCAATCATTCCAACACCTTTCAAACCACAATTCAAGCTATACACTCAATGACATAAATCCACATATCACAACATTCAACTCAGCCACTAAGCACCACAACTCAGCCACAAGAGTCAAAGAAAACCGAATACACAAAACGAGGATTACTTTTAAAATAAATAGTAATTCAACTCGAAAAATTATGAATTTCGGATATGTCCTAGAAGAAATCCTGATGAACATTTTTTTATGAAGAACACAAAACCTAGTTCTGTCTAGAACCACCTCTTATTGTCATCTAAAGTTTGACATAAAATATTTCATTCGGACTGGCCATCCGGCTTTCAAAATGCATTTCAAACAGTAATCAAATCTCCTTAGAAAGCTTTGAAATGTTTATATGTCATAGCCACAAATGTCCCCAACAAGTTTTGTGAAGGAAGTATTTCGAAAATAGGTCTGAAAAAATTTATAAAATTTCGAACAGACCCGAAGGTCGGAGGAACAATGTTTCCGGCGGACTAATTTTGGTCCAAAGATGGACTTCCGAATGGCCTCAAATGACTTCCAAAAATTCCCAAATTAAATTATGTTATACTTCAAGATGTTTTGAACAACTTTCATGAAGAACATTACCCAGATTCGACCCACACAGGTCTCGGTAAAAATAGCAAAACTCGGCGACACAGTAGTAACGAAATCCGAGAACACAACCAACAAGCAAATCTACTTGTCTAACCCTTAAACCAACTAACCACAGCCACTAATCATCTCCTAATATGCCTATTGGTAACCCCTTAGCATAGACAAGGTTTATAATGCCACTTACTAGGGAAAAACCTAAATAAATCCAAGCTAAGCAAGCAGCAACGGCTCCGGCGGATCAGCAACAAGGGCGAATGGTGGTTCCGACGAAGACGGGCTGAGACAGTGGCTGGCTGAGGCGGAGCAAGTAGCTGCTCACGCAAGGGGGAGGAGGGGGAGCCGGCCGAGAGAGATGAGGGAGAAAGAGGAGAATTTTTATCAAATGGCATAGAGAGAGAGAAACAAGTCTTCTAACCCCACTATAAACCCCAATACCAACTCCACTATCTCATCCAATGGCTCACATTGCATCTTGTTGGGCAAGAGAAGATCCTAGGGCTCACAAAATTCCTCCTAACCAATTACCCAAAATAATAAATGGCAAGAAAAAGAAATATGCAAGGAGGGAGAGGCACAATGGTCCTCTAGCTTTGGCCATTGGAGGGAAAATACCAATTTCCAATTTGCCCTTCAACCCTTCAAAGGAATTCAAATATCCCAAGGGTAAAATGGTCTTTTTCCAATTTCCGGTCCAAATTTCACTTTCCGATAAATCCAATAAACCTTAAGGTTGGCCACGCTTATGTGACGTCGTCCCAATAAATTAGTCGTGACACATCGAGAAATTCGACATCCAAGTTCGGATTCAAATGACGGCCAATTTCACTCAAACACAACTTTAGTGTATCTCTGACTAACGGGCGGCTTTTTAGGGTTTACGCGTATCGACCTGCGGTTACTTAAGTCATGGCGATCTCGATTGTCACCAAAAGTCGACTCATGGTCGAGTTCTTAGGTCTATGTACATTTCCCTAGGTAGCTATTCCTTAAAGGTTAATATCCCGAGAATGATCAGTTCCAGGCGAGATTTAACTAAAAATGTATTGAAAAATATGCACATTTCATTTATCCCAAAAGTGGGTCGAAATTCAGATTGTCACAATATACATCTTGTTATCTGCTGCCCTGCATAACCAAAAAAAACACAAAACATTCAGTCATTGCCCTCGTTGCACTGTAAAAAAGAAAGAAAAAAATTGGTGAAGTGATTATTTTCCTTTGACGCGTGTAAAGTACCATTATTTACGACCAAAATCATTAGATCAAAATATCAATTAGTAATTAAGGTTGAGACCGTCGAAGAAATAACGGGTAATCCATTTTCATGTTATGCAAATTCATGCTATGACAAGATCCGTGGAACAATAACTGATGATAATTTTTATGTGATTATAATTATTACCAGAAATCATTGAAATTATACTACTTTCCTTCTAAAGTGATTGAGGTTGGCAAAGTCTTCGTGCATTTGATTTTTGCTAGTTTTTTTTAAGTATTATCTGGCGCTCGCCCAAGAAACATAAACTTTGTAAGATGCAGGCAAACTACTTTATCACAAATTATGGACAAAATCATTTAACTAGATCGGCTTGTCGTTAAATTTTTCCTAGTGTACTAAAAAAGAAAAAAAAAGGATTATTTTCGTTATCGTGATCTTTTCGGAAGTGAACCACCAAAGGAAAGCTAATGAATTACTAAGCTCAAAGACTTAGCACGGACTTTCCCAAACCCCATTAATCGCAACTTTCGAATTTAAAATTAATCAATTTAAACATGCAAAGTAGTTTATTTAAGAGCCGTCACTCATTAATTAAGATCGATTGAAACCTAAGTAAAGTATTACCTAAGTAAATTATTGAAGAATACTTTACTTCTGCAAACCAAAGATTTAATGGATTTTGGAACTTGATTACCCTATATTAATCTAACACACATTCGATGTTTTTTCTCTTTATATTATGGTAAAAAGTTACAAAAATCTCAAACTTTGTCCGCTATGACACATTTACCTTACACTATTTTTTGTAATACCAAAAACCCCAAACTTTTACCCATGTGACATATTTACCCCAAACTTTTATCTGTCACACAAAAAACCCCAAACTTATGCCTGGGTGACACATTTACCTCAAACTTTTTTTTGTACACCAAAAACCCTAAATATTTTTCATGTGACACTAATCGTTGGGGCAAATGTGCCATACGAATACAAATTTAGTGTTTTTGGTGTCACAAGAAGATGTTTGGGATAATTGTGTCATGTGTACAAGTTTAGGGTAAATGTGCTGCATAGGTATAAGTTTGGGGCTTTTTGCACTACAAAAAAAAAGTTTAAGGTAAATATGTCACAATAGGCATATTTTAAGGTTTTTGGTAACTTTTACCCTTTTCAAAATATCTTGCAAGCAGCCTTGGTTGATTTTGAACTTAAGTCACTAACATGCAAGGGAGATCATGCGGGTGCGCAATCATTATTGAACACTCAATAATTAAATCAATAAATAAATTGCTTAAAACATTAAGAACCTGTAGCGCATATGGAAGCAATTAATTGATCCTTATTCATCCATTGAGTGTCTCTGCAATCTTAACTTAGAGAACAATAATATTCAATGATATGCATACATTTTATTTCCTGAATGACAATGCAAAATGTCAATGACTATTTTATATTTTTTTTTATGAAAATGATTCAGTTAAAATGCTCTGAAATGCACCCAATCTAATATGCATTATGCTAGGATTCTAGATGACACGTATGCTATGCTATGCTACGTGAACTAACCTACATGCAACCCTATCTTTTGTGTTTTCCATGTTTATAAATTAAATCCTAGGGCAATGTGATCTATTCAAATAAATTATCTAATGATGCAACTCTAATTCATTATTTTTCAAATTGATTATAAGATTATCTAAAAGATATCAAATTTAATCTAATCTAATCAAGATTGAAAATACTATCTCCAAACTATTCAAACCTTATCTACTATTAGGTTCATTTCAAACCTAATCTATTTGAAATGTAACCTAATTGATTCTGTTTGATTTTTTTGGATATTATTATCAATGCAATTATCTATATGAAAACTAACATTCATTATCCCTAAGATGCAATCCTATTTACAAAAGCAACGGATAATATATTTGTTATCTACAATGGTTATTATCCATAAATTCAAAGTTGCATATGAAAAAAGATTTGTTTCGTCTTTAATTTATCATTATCACATCAAATCTTATCTCTTATCCCTAACACACAATTTAAAT